ATCTACCTTGAATGGAAATATGTATTCCCGCATGTGACCAGTGACTGCTTGTGCCAAGTTATTTGGTGGATTATAATTTTTGGTTAAGACATCTACGAACCATGTAAATGATCTTTTTTTCAGAATTACCGTTTTTGCTTTATTTTTGAGCTCAGGATTACGTATTTAATGAAAGTTTTTATATTTATTTTAGATGGCAATTCTATAATTTAAAAGAAAGAGTGAGAATGAGTATATAAAGACAAATTCTGATGTTATACCTTGTGTACAACCAGCTTCATTTTATTATAATTTTTATGGATAAACTTACAATATAATTCACTGGCTATATTTTCAAAATAATTCACTGGCTACTTTTCCCCGCTGCCGACGTTTTATTTGTTTACGTTAATATATGCATCTGCGGTTTAAATCCCAGTCATCCCAGTGTGGTCCCTAGCACAGAAACAAAAAACGCAAAATTTATATAAAATGTTTATTAAGATGCCTAAATAAAAAATCGTTATTTTTGTCTCACCAACCTTCTTTGACGCCACTTTTTATGTAGGCCTGTATTTGTTATGCTTCGAAAGACTGTTTAACTGATGCATCACTACGTCCTCTAGGTTTCTTTAAAAATATTTCGGGTTGTGGTAAACACCGACGTTTTCATAACACCGACGTTAAACAGAGCTATCGCTCCACACAGACCTACTTATTATTGAACAGCATGCACGTGAAATATTGTTTCAGGTATGCATTTAATGGGAATATTAGCCTGCGCAATACCTTATCAGAATATTATTCTGACTGACAACCATTCCTAAATATTATGACTGAAAATTTCAGGCCTAAAAAAAACCTCTTTTTTAAAAGTATTTGTATTATTTTTTTACACGGGAGTTTGTCATAGTTGGCGGTGATAGGGCAGATAATAGACTTAACCTGAAAGAAGCTGCTTCGAAGTCCGTAAGGCGGACTGTGCTGTTGGATCCTTGAGTCAGGTGATTTTTCCTAATAGCTGAGTTTCCCGAAGCCTTCTTAACGCTACGTCGTTCGTTAGTTCTATCTTTTGACACAGAACTTAAGAACGAAGTAGCGTTAAGAACGCTTCGGGAAACTCACCCTGGGTAAATATTCAGCTGTTTAATTCGAAAAAAAAACCGTAGACGGCTTTGAGTAAACGTTTCGACTTAAAAATATTCCTTCAAATAAAATTACACTTGGGCCTCTATAAGCCCCGCGACCGAATACTTGGATAAGCGATTGGAATATTAATTGATGGATTGTATAGGTAACCATGTAAGAAAATATCTCCCTCTTGTGGAATAATGCGAGAAATACATTATGCAGACGCTTTTCTCTTAAATGGAATTTAGTACATTTATTGTTATACTGTATTTACACACTATTTATTTGCTCAGTTAAACCTTGAAATAAAATAAGTCTTTTTATTAGTATTAACACTGGGGTCACGTGACATGTGTCCAATCGATTATACAGGTCCACGCTTCTCAAATTTAACAAGTACCTGTCAGTTCTTTTAATTTTCCATTGGTTATATGATAATAAAAAGCAATTAATTGGTATATCTTAATTGGCCCAGTATATAACATGACTGAAATCACAGACTAGTGATAATGCCAGTTCACACAGAAATTAAGCAGGAATGGATTTGTGGGACTTAGGCAAAATTAAACGAAATTATCATGATAAAAATTGGTTCTGAATATTAGCCATAATTTGGGCTTACGGTTGTGTTTTGGTTCAGTGGTGTACCTTGAGTAGTGTGGAATTCAGAGTTTTTCTCGTCCACCTATTTATCTATTTAAGTTTTGATAAATAACAGTTTTTCCTCCCAGCTTTAAGCCCCCACCAGGGCATCAAGTTAGATGTCATCAGTTGGTCTTGTAAATACACAGGGGATTACATGCATTTAAATTAAAATGAGCAGCGTTAATCTCATTACAGAAATACCCACAGGATTCTGTTTTGTACAGGTTAGTATTTAACAGCTGATTTAATAGTATATACAATAAACAATAATACACCATTGTGCATATCAAAAAATGAATAGTCAGCATCTATATTTTATGTGTTGTTCTGGGTATTTTTCTTTGGCCAGTGAAGCAGTGACACGTGTGATTGTGAATACTCTGCTTTATTCCACATACTTCTGGGAATATTGTGACCTTAATTTGAAATGCTGTTAGCAAAAATGGATACATTCATTGAGGTTAGTAATACTGAAGACTGCATTTATGAATTGATATATATAGTATAAAATAGTATTTAAAAAATTCAGTAATAAATAATAATAATAAACTCAAACAGAATTTTTGTGAACAAAAACTCCAGAAATGACCGAATGCTTTACCAAATAATTTCATAGGATAACCTCTATATTGCAAATGTCATATTGCAAACATGTGATATATGAAGTATGTTAATAAAATCCTTAAATTATAGTGCCATATGGAATCTCTGGGCTGGAAAAAATCAGCAGCCTGTACTGGTGACCATAAGGTTCACAGCTCGAATCCCTGGGGATCCCTGCTTTTGCACTCTTCCCTTCAATTGACTAAACTCTACAAATAGAAGCAGAGTGATATTTTAAGCCAGTTAAGTTCGTGTGGGCTGAAAAGCAATTAAATTCATTTTTAAAAATTGAGCCATTCACCAATTTCTTAATCTTGTGGTGTCACAAAATAGTTTTATTGTGCAATTTTATTATATTCATATTTTGGGTGGAACTAAAACCTCACACTTCCAGGTTGTTGGTTTGAATCTCACCTCTGATCTGTGTGTGGAGTTTGTGTGTTTTCTCCTTATTGCATGGGGATCTTCCAGCTGTCCAAATGACATGCAGTTACCTTCATTTCTGTCTCTAAATTGCCCATAGAGTATGATTATGTGTATTTGTGCCCTGTGATGGGACCCCACCCCGGCCTTGTGCCCTGTGATGGGACCCCACCCCCGGCCTTGTGCCCTGTGATGGGACCCCACCCCCGGCCTTGTGCCCTGTGCTGCCTGAGACATACTCCAGGCCACCTGGACCAGAATAAGCGCTTATAAGATGGATGGACATTTCGGGGTTTGAAGTCAGAGAGAAGTGTTATATAATGTTATTTGAATTACCAAATGCAATTCAAATCAATCATAACAACTTGCTGTTCTTTCCTGTAAAATCCATGTTGTATAGATTCACATTAAATGAACAAACAATTCACATTTCCACTACCTGTGTTCCTTTATTGTCATTCAGCAGAGGCACCTGATGAGGCCAGTTCGGCAATGCCATCACAATGCCGTCACAATGCCAGCACAATGCCGTCACATGTTGACTAATGAACTGGGTTTCCGGCAGGAATGAAAGAACAGTGCTGACCTGCTGACTGGTGACCTTTACATACCATTAACCTTTCTCGATATCAGCGTCTCAAAAAATTGTACTGAAATTGTGATATCAGTATTTTAAAATGTTCATATAAATGTTTTAAAGGTGTGTTTGAATTGTATTTTTTTGTGTTCAATAATAGCCTTTACAATTCAGTATCATGACAAAGCAATCTGATGTCAATAATACAACTTACCTGTAATACATAAGCTATGTGGAAATGCTTTCAGATTTCAGAAGTTTTTTCGAACTATTTCCTGCATGGTTTTCAACAAAAAAATAAGCAGATTTTAAGGTTATGTGTAAATTTATAAAATTGAAACTGTTCCTAGTTAAAAGCTATATTCTGTTACTAATTAAATTCCAGTTTTTAAGAGTATGAAGAATTCATGAAACATGTCTAAGATGCAGCCAATGATTATGAAAAGGACAATATTTAATAGGTCTTTTATATGTGTCACGCTGAGTACTGAACCAGAATTAGCTGTACCTAATTGGTGACATTTGTTTTTTCTTGTTGGAATGCCAATTCATTTGATAATGTGCCAATATGCAGGAACAGAGTAATCAGAATGTAGTAGATGGTAGTATATAAAATTATTTAATCTCAAAGTAAAACATAATATGTAAATAAATTTGAAATTACAGTACTGTTGGAGCTGTTTATACGCTATTATAAGCTATAATTAATTATTATAGGGTGAACTCCCAAAGTCCCACTGTAGCGCTGTATTCAGAGGTGCCAAAAGGGGGGGGGGCAATGTGATGGCATCTCTAATGGCACCCCTGGCTTTATCATAAGAAGCTGACAGTCTATTGCTGTCTCCTTGGGCACAAATGGAATGTACTAAAGAATTAGGAATTTACAGACTGTGGTAGGCATCTTACATGGAAGAGAAAGTAGGATTCTGCAATTTACGTTACTAAACATCTGGCTTTCAGAAACTGATATTCATTTAACGCGCTTGACGTCTAGGTTTTAATATTAGATTAAGACATTCCTATAACATGAAGGTTTTCAACTATCAATTATATTTGCTCTGATCTTGTTACGAAGCTGTATTATGTAATGGAAGGGAATCCAGAAAAAACATTTAGAACGTGGCGTATCAACACATTCCATTCAAAATTTAAAACCTAGACACACATTTTTGAAACTTTATATCAATTTTAACAAAATTTCGGAAACAATACCACATTTGAAAAGTTTGCTATCAAATTAGAAAAGAAGATATCAGTGAATAAATGCCAGTCATCAACTACAAAACTGTATAAAGTTATTATGATATTAAGAAACGGAATTGCGCAGTTCATGGGGGAAGATGGGTGGGTGAGTTTATTTCGGTAATTGTATTATTATTGATTTATGTATTAATTGTATAATAGGCCTGTTCGGTATTATATTTAATAAATCACCAGATCCCGTGATTCAAGCATAAACTATCAATTATTTATATACTTGTTTTTATTCTAAATGAATACTCGATATTTTCTTGACTACAGGATGGGGACAGGAGGCTAGTAAACGCATGTATTCCCGACTGACCGAGTCGTTCCAGTATGTAATGCACATGCTGATCCGTGTCACTGGAAAGCGTGTGTTTCATTCAGCCAGTCATAACACCGCGACAAGCACGTCAAGGACAAGGACAGGGGGAAGGAAGGGGTCGATCCCGGGATCTGGGATAGGATTGGTGCGGCTGCGGGTCGAGCTCACATTACGCCTAGTGCACTGTGGTGCTGAGCCGCATTGCTAAAGAGGCGCCGCGGGTTTATGCGCCGATTGCGTGTATAATAGCCGGGGGAGTTGAGATCTAAGGTAAGCGGGCGAAAAACCACCGAAGCGTGTTAACAGGATGACTTTAGCTATACGCAGTTAGAACATCTGCCATCAACATTGCCATGCCCAGGTGTGGCCTGTGGAGGTTTGCGTGTCCGCCGTAATATCATTCATTTAGGGCGTTGTAGTGAATTTCGGCACATTCATTGGAATGTAGCCGGAGAGCTACGGCCTAAATATAGACACAAGGGCCTAGTTTAAAGCAGATCGGATAATCAAATCCGGCGTGTAGGAGGAGAAAATAGCCCGTGCACTAGTACTTGCTAAATTATCATGGTTAGAATGGAAATAGTGATAAGCGTCCTCGCGAGCCGCTGTCATTTCAGTGCTACTGATAGGGTGACGGCCACTAGTGTTAGCGACGTGCTAACTAGCTAGCTTTCAGATGCACTTAGAAAATGTGGTTTAAATATTTACCGGGAATCATAGTGGAATTGTGTTTTTCTAAGAAAAATGCAGTTTGTAACAATGTAACACGCGTGGACTTTGCAACACATTTGGTTTAACATTTGGTTTAACATTTGGTTTAACTGTCGCGGGTATACTTGTGTAATATTAAATAACGAAACAATGTTAAGTTTTAATTGCTGCTTACTACCCATCGGCAGTAGAGATGCTGCGGCTCCTGCGGAGACACCGCGGCGGATGGGTGGCGCGGGGACAGCGCCGGTCCCAGCACAGTGGGCGCGTGATGGCCATACGGCGCGAGGACATCAATGTGTGGGAGAGGCGCGCGCCCCTCGCCCCACGCCACGTCAAGGAGATTACCAATGCCGGGTATAAGATCCTGGTGCAACCGTCCAACAGGAGGGCCATCCATGAGAAAGTTAGTGGCGAGACAAAATAATCACCTGTTTCTTAAGTGCCAACATGAAGATGTTTATGTCTCTCATACATTAATTTTAGAGTCTTCATCTTTTTTGATATCATGCCCGTCCTCGATTTATGATTGGAGAATCATTATTTATGCATGAAGCAACCGCCTCGAAATTAAAGCATATGCTCTTCTTCAGTACTACGAGAAAGCGGGCGCAGTCATTCAGGAGGACATCTCAGAGGCTTCCCTGATCATCGGGGTGAAGAGGCCACCTGAGGAGAAAGTCTTGCCCCAGAGAACCTATGCGTTCTTTTCCCACACTATCAAAGCCCAGGAGGCCAACATGGGGCTGCTTGATGACATGCTCAAAAAGGTAGGCATTGGTCTGCTCAAATCATGGTTATTTCAGTGAAAATAATTACAATGGCATGAAAGCACTTGTAATTTGGGGGTTTTACTTAGTTTTTTTTTTTCTGTCCAGGAAGTCCGTCTCATCGACTACGAGAAGATGGTGGATTCGAATGGTTTTCGCATTGTTGCCTTTGGACAGTGGGCTGGTGTGGCAGGTGGGGCTTCTCCTGGATGATGGTGCCTTTTACTTTATTAGAATCACACTATAAATTTCATCGCTTTTAATGGTGACTTCAGCACTTGTTGGGTAGTGTTCAGCCGTTAATTTAATCTTTGTTCCAGAGCCTCTGACTGGTATGTTACCTGGACGTTTAGTTTAAACCTTTTCAAAAGGGCAATGTAGACGATTAGGGGTTAATGCATGTAATAACATCACTTTGGGATGGGATGAATATTTGTTACAATTTGTTGAGTTGTTACATAATGCAGCGTTATTACGTAATGCGTTGTTACAGCGCAGCAATACTGTAAATTAGACTGATATTGGTGTTCAGTCTTCAAAGTCTTGGTGTTCAAGCTTTCCTTCTCTTCTTTACTTACAGGGATGATCAATATTTTGCACGGTCTGGGTTTGCGTTTCCTGGCCCTGGGTCACCACACTCCTTTTATGGTAATGGGCGTGTCTCCTTGTGTCCTTCACATATTTAATGTTGTTATTTTCTCTTGGCACGAAATAAACACTGTTTCCTGTGCCCCCCCCCCCCCCCCCCCCCCCCCCCCCCCCCTTTACTTTCAGCACATCGGCATGGCCCACAACTACCGGAATGTCAGTCAGGCGATACAGGCAGTGAGGGATTGTGGGTATGAGATCTCGCTGGGCCTCATGCCCAAGTCTATTGGACCGCTCACTTTCGTATTCACCGGGACCGGCAATGTGTCCAAGGTAGCCAGGGCCGCCTCTCTGGCAGGGCGATTTACGGGAATGAAGGTGTGTGTGCTTAGCCCTTCCTGATTTGCTGACTTCCCCCTTTTTCAGGGTGCGCAAGAGATAATCAATGAGCTTCCCTGTGAATTTGTGGAGCCCCACGAGCTGCAGGAGGTCTCAAAGCATGGAGGTGAACATTTCTTTGCTCTTATTCAAATTTATGACAGGTGCAAGGACTTGCAATTTCCCTCTACAGCAGGGCTGTTCAAATCACGGTGCTCAAAGGCAGAGCACTGCAGGTTTCCCAGCCTTCCTTTACCTGTCAGCCGGGTGAGAAGCCTCTGGCCAATCAGAATCAGTAATTATTAAACTAACTACATGAGAAAGCTGAAAACAAGGCCTGGGTTTGGAGTCGAGGGCCAGATTTTGAAAAGCCCTTCTCTAGGGATCAATAAAATGCCTCTCAGTAAGTCTCTTTCTGTTTTCTCTCTGTCTGTCTCTCTCACCGTGCCTTGTTTTCTGTCAACCTGCTTGTTTCTCTGACTCTGTCATAATAATAATATGAAGAAAGGCCTATTAAATGGTAAAACAGCTTTCCATAACAGTTGTAGTCTTTGAATGCCTATATTCTTATTTATTCATAACTTATGCTGTTTTGGGTATTCAGATTTAAGTAAAGTCTACGCAACAGTGCTGAGTCGTCATCATCACCTGGTGAGGAAGAGCGATGGGGTGTATGACCCCCTGGAGTATGAACAACACCCTGAGCGCTACACTTCCCATTTCCGGGACAGCGTGAGTCACCAGTCCCCGTTCGTCCAGTTCCTGGCTCAACCGGTTCTTATTTTGGCATCAGTCTTGTTTTTATTGAGTAAAACTCAGCTGCTGTGTGTTTCTGCCCTGAATACTGAGGCTGTTCACCTTCCTCGTTATCTTTGGCTCCGAAGGACCCAAGTCCCGGAAGCTCACTTTGAACGGGGAGTTTGAGTATGAGTTCCACGTGGCTGGTTTGCTCTCGGCTGCCCCTGTAGCTTCTCTCCAGTGCACCTCCAGTGCCTCACCTGTAATGGTCTGTTCAGAGCTGTATGCTTGCGAAACAGTTACTCAACGCTCAGGTTCTCTACTAATTTTAAAAAGTTGTCTCTGCTTCAAACAACCTTCAAAAAAATCAGTTTTATTTATTAATAATATTGTGTGTCCTTGTTAACTCTGGAAAAGCACTGAGCATAGCATGCTGCATAAAGTGCCCTTTTCCCCCGTCCTTCACATTTGTGCTCCTCTCTGCTTTTGATGTTTCTAATAAAGGATGATTTTTTTTCAGACGTCTTTTGTAATTGAGGCTCACAGGTTGCACAGATTCTGCAGTAACTGCAGTAACAAAACTGCATTATTCTATGGCTGATTGATCAGGCTGAGTGGATTCAGCACATTGTTGTTAATGTAGTGCTGCTGATTCTCGTGATGCGTTTGTGGTATTGTCCTGACGTCCTGAGGCGGATGTTCCCTCTCTGATGTGTATTTGCTCTGTGTAGATCGCGCCCTACACCACCTGCTTGATAAATGGCATTTACTGGGACCCTCATACCCCTCGTCTGCTCAGACGGCTGGACGCGCAGAGGCTGATGCGACCTGTAGAACCTTCCGCAAAGGCAACGGAAGGCTGGCCCGAATTACCTCACCGGTGAGTGCTTCGCAGGCGTCCAGTACCTCTGTCCTCATAAGCAGCCTGTAGCTCTGTCCTCATCAGCGGCCTGTAGCTCTGTCCTCATCAGTGGCCTGTAGCTCTGTCTTCATAAGTGACCTGTAGCTCTGTCCTCATCAGCGGCCTGTAGCTCTGTCCTCATCAGCGGCCTGTAGCTCTGTCCTCATCAGCAGCCGGTAGCTCACCATGGGAATGGCGGTCGCCTCAGTGGCCGGACTGCCATGAAGTTTAATATTTTTTCATTATTTTTAGTTTTAAAATAAATCACAGGGATACAAATGCAGCATGGTACATATTCCGGAAATGTAAGCCCTGGAATGAAATTTGCATATATATTAAAGCTTGCATGATCACTTGAGGATCTCCAGAGCATCAAGGTAACATGCTTAAGCTTAGATAGTCCTTAGTCTTCATGAAGGGTCCTGCTTGCTGACTGTCTAGACCAGAGGTGGGTTCTTATCCAGAAAGAGCCGGTGTCTGTGTGTGAGTTTTCACTGCAGTCCTCACTCTTGGGTTTGAACAGCTGACCTAAAGGTTAACCCAAAAACCTGCATACACACCAGCCCTTTATGGATCAGACTGCCCACCTCTGGTTTAGAAGGTAGGATGACCCTCATGCAGACCACTCTTCTGACAGTTTACCTGAAGTTATCTTATTCTGGAGTGGTCTTGTTTCAGCTGGCCTGTTCCTGGGTCGACATCCTGTACATACATAAAATTGGCCCATTCTACGAAATCCCAACAACACTCAAATTCATTATGTCTGTTTGTTTATGTGTTGTAAGGAATGTTGTGATAGAAGACAGAATGTTCTTGAAGAATGCTGTCTATGTTTGACAGTTGTCACCATTAACATGATGGCATTATTATTGTTGATGTTGTTATTGTTATTATTCATCAAGTCAACAAAGAGGCATTATGTCTGACAGTTTCTAATCCCCATTTGTATTCTGAGTAAGCAGGTCTCATTTTGAATGAATTGAATGCTAACTGGTTAAATAAACCTAAAAGGCTTAGGGCAGTGTGTTTGTTGCGTAATCCCATTAAAGCTGCTGTTCACAGCTCTGTGCCAGGTGCAACCTCGTGGACAGCCTCTGGAATTCTGTTTGTTACCAATAACATCTCTGTGAGGAATAAACCAATCCGGACGTGTGTCAGCAGTCCCGCCCCCCCGGCCACGCGCTCACGCTCATTGGCTCTCTCTCACAGCTTCCTGGCCATCTGTGACATTTCCGCCGACGTGGGGGGCTCCATCGAGTTTATGACAGAGTGCACCACCATTGATAAACCTTTCTGTATGTATGATGCCAACCAGCATATAGATCATGACAGGTACAAAACAAATACAAATGATTGAAAATGAATGTTAGAAAAATAAATACCAAATACATAATACATTTTCTGTTCTGTTATACTGCTGAAGCTTCTTCATGCTGTGCTTGCACAGTAAGTCAGTGTGTGTTTCCCGCAGCGTGGAAGGTACCGGCATTCTGATGTGCTCCATCGATAACCTCCCCGCTCAGCTTCCCATCGAAGCCACCGAGTACTTTGGGGATCGGCTCTGTCCATACATGTGGGAGATGGTGAGAGGGCGGCCATGCTGCTTTTTCTAGCGACCCCTGCTTGAAGTGACAGGGCTCCCCCCAGACAGCGACAGGGCTCCCCCAGACAGCGACAGGGCTCCCCCCAGAGAGCGACAGGGCTCCCCCCCAGACAGCGACAGGGCTCCCCCAGACAGCGACAGGGCTCCCCCCAGAGAGCGACAGGGCTCCCCCCCAGACAGCGACAGGGCTCCCCCA